GAGACGGAGCCAGAGCGAGTGAGACGCCCAGCGACGTGATGCCTGGTGACTGGCCCTAGTCACGGCGTGACATTACGCCTTTCCCTCGGGCGGCTTTGTCTTCGTCTTAAATGTCAAGCCAGACACTCGCTGCCAGGGCTCCTGTACTTGTCTGTTGGGTAGCGTGAATCTCAGCAGATACTTAGCTCCTCACGAACTCTCTGCTTTAACGATGTCCGGTATAGCCATAGGTGATCGCTCTCCATCACGGTCATCTACATAGTCCGTCCGCTGCCGACAAGAACTTAGTCTGAAACCTCGATGACGGGCCTGCGGCATGATAAGCACTGAGCTTACAGGTACACGCTTTACAATACATACATACAAGGTGAGTTAATATCCTCTGCGGCAAGGATTGTTGATGGCTCAATGCTTTCATAGGTCTTCGCATGCGCATTCTGCCAGTGCCTGCAGCGCGTGCAATTCTGTGGCGTGCCAGAAGGGGCAGTTTTTTTGTGAAGGAGTACGTGGTGAGAGTTTAGGTGAGTTTGTTGGCCATCAACTTGACCATCTCGTCCTAAACCCCTACATCCTACTGCAATGTTGACACGCTTGTGATCGTGGTGGTTTGCTGACATCGCACGGTACGCCGATCTTAGGGACTCAAGTCAGCGATCTCAAAAGACAGAAGGCCTGTCTAGAGTCATCGAAGAAGGAAGCGGAGGAGGAGCGAGAACACGCACGAGAGGCCGCGAGGGAACATATATTGCGCGGGTTCGAGAAGGACCAGCTTGGCCTGGCGGCGACATCCATCGTCTCGACATCCTCTAGCGAGGCGGAATCTTCGGAAGGTGTGTTTTATACCTTCTTATCGTCTGACTGTCTCCCATCCGTCCTGGACGTCATACACAATACAGAGTATCGTGATACAGCACGAGGAATAAAACCCAAGTATGATTCCAACACGAGTGCAATGGAGTGGCTCACTCGCGAGGCTGAGGAGGCGGCCCTCCGGCAGATCGAGCACGAGCAAGCTGAGGCTCTGAAGAGCAAATTGCCTGACGACTGGCTGCCGCTGCTCATGCCGACGTACACTACTTCACTGTCCTACAAACGACAGATCGCGGCGGAAACCCAGGACATCTACTCGAGTACGTAGCCCGAGTATAATCCACGCTGTGTAAATGTATTGAAAGAGCATACGCTCGTGACGCCCGCAGAGTGATGTATATGTAGCCTGAGGCCAAGCCCAATCTTGAGCTCACGCATGAAGGCCGGTAAATTGCTGCTCGTGAGCGTGCTGGTCAGAGGCGGCTGACACCAATATGTTTCGGGGGACCAGTATGCGGTAGGGGGTCGAGTGGATATGTGTGCACGATGTGTTGCGATCCGTGGCTCAAAGCGGTCTCTAGGTATGACTAGGATGTATCTACACAAAACAAGGCACAGTTGATGACGGTGTCTGGAGTTGAGTGGACTTCAGCGTTCACATTCTCGGCGAGTGTCTTCAGCAACGCGCCTCGGCAGCGAGTGAATAGGGTTCTGTCTTGGGTAATCTGCCCCGGACGCATTTGCCTTGGACGCGCGACATCCATGACATTCGTGCGACCTACCTGGAAGTGGATAAAAGTGGGCTTCCTTGTCACAAACAGGCTGTGCTGGTCTGTTTCCCTCAGGTGATTCCATCTCGTCTTTTCTCTCTTGCTCGCAGATATTCAATGCGCCCCGTCTTCAGGAACATTACTGCCCCCGCAATATCGCGCATATTCCGTTGGCTAGACACCACAGAGGCGGCACTTGATCAGTGCGTGACAATGTCTGGGAGTCCCCATGGTGCATATCGCTGATACTAGTCAGTGCAGGTCCACAGTTACTCCTTCAAAGCGTAGCGGACAACCATGAGGCTCCTCGACGTTTGGACAGGCCAATTTGTGGAGAAGGACCCGAAGAAGACAGAATACGCCATCCTATCGCATACGTGGGATCAGGTCGAACAGACGTACCAGGACGTTCGAGAGATCCAACAGTCATACGGCAGTCAAGGTCGACTACGCGTTTCTTCTTTGCCGGCCGGCCTTGCTCGGAGGGCAGGCCCCGGCGCCCGATCTCTCATTGACTCCGCCTCCCGGTCTGGCGCCAGGGCATACCGGTTGTTGCGCATCGGTTTCGCAAGGCTTGACAGACACAAATCGCACTCACCCGATACTCATACGACGTCGCCCTCAGCCAGCACATGTTCAAGTTCCTCCGGAGATCTCGATGCCAACACTTCGCACAAGACCGCCCATCGCAGCTCCGTGACGTCCATTTGGTGCGACCCTCGACTTTCACTGAAAATCCGAGAGGCCTGCAGAGTGGCGCGCGAGGCTAGATACAATTACCTGTGGATCGACTCTTGTTGCATTGACAAGACGAGCAGCTCCGAGCTCTCCGAGTCGATCAATTCGATGTACCAATGGTACGGCGATGCGGCAGAGTGCTACGCGTACCTTGTGGACGTCCCTCCTGGCGAAGATCCTCGCTTACCGAAATCGAACTTTCGTTCGAGCCGATGGTTCAGGCGCGGGTGGACGCTCCAGGAGCTTATTGCACCCTCTGAAGTGAAGTTCCTTTCAAACGACTGGAACACGATTGGAACCAAGCATACCCTCGTCGACGTCGTTGAGGACATCACGACTATTCCTCGGGAAGCTCTACTCAGACTGGAGCCACTCGATGAGTTCAGCGTGGCGGAACGGCTCTCGTGGGCAGCGCGACGAGAAACGACACGCGTGGAAGACCGGGCGTACTCGCTGCTCGGAATCTTCGACATCAATGTGCCTACGCTCTATGGTGAAGGCGAGCGCGCCATCCGCAGGCTGCAGGAAGAGATCGTGTGGCGGGCACCTGACCAGAGTCTCTTTGCGTGGGGGCACGTCTACGTGGCACTCGACACGCGCAAAGACCTTGCTCAGCGCCGGTCGCTTCAGGCTGCTATCAAGATTGACATTGTATGTTGAACAGGCGCTGGTTTACACAGCTTGCCTAATACAGCCGTCACAAGATATGGAACGGCACAGCCGGTTACTGCAATAACCAAGGCTGTACTACTCATGTGGTACACACACAGCTTCGCTGTGTACGCACTGCTTCTCTGTGCGACTGTGCATCCTGGGAATGTACTGTATAGTACTACGTAGCCACAGATGTACAGTAGTATATATAGGGGACCTCTGTACCCCAAATCTACAGTTCAGTTCACTCGAACATCTCCTCTCATCGCTCTAACAAGCCTCTTACAACCAACAACCCTTCTAAGTGAGTTGCAGGCTATCCGCTGTCGTTGCCACCCGTGGGAGAGGCCTTCGCCCCCCGGGTTCAACAGGTTATGAGCCCTGCTCGACGCTGCAGAATCTGCGCCGCTCACTGCGTGCTGCGATCTGTAAGCTCGCAGCTCACCTGGATCTTTTGCCATCGTTATCGATGTGCAACCGCTGCTTGGATCTGGCGCGATCATACGCTGCCTGCCATGCATGCACTGTGGACTGTTGTGGCGC